TTGCCAAGGGACTTTTTTTTTATCACATTGAGAAGAATCAAGCAAACTATTTCAATGCATTCAACTTTTCACAAGTTCTCAATGAATGCTTACATTAATTAGAATAATATTAAGACTTATGGATCCAATTTTATAAATAAATTATAAATAAAAATAGTTGCCAGGGGACTGACGTTTTGAAGTGGCCCAGACACATATTTCCAGCGCAAACGGTGCTTTAACACTAAATAAAATGCCGATAAAGCGCTAACAGCCCTATGGTTATTAACTCAAGGCTAGTTAGGTCCTTATAAACCTTACAAAAGGTAAAATAACACGCTAGATTTTTTTTTGGCTTTGAACTTCTGGCAGGGGACTATTCTTAAAATGCCTGGGACAAACTTTGGTTTAATGAATTCAATGAAACAAATTAATTTTCGGTACTTTTTATTGAAGCAGATTGTTAGTTAACTAATTAAGTTTATAAATATTATGGACTAAATTATATATTATGAACGAATAACTTACAATTTAATCTTAAAGTTTTAATTTAAGGAATGGGACAGCCCAGGAGACTGTTATTTCGGTGGTTTACCAATTTATAGCAAAAAAAACCAAAATTTATTTCATTTTAGTTTTCAATGCTCCAAATAGAAATGTTTTTTTACTTTGGTAATACATTTGTTTTAGTAACGAAATAACAATTTTTCTAATAAAAAAATGCCTGGGACAGCAACAAACATCCTTACAGAGAATCACCCATATACAATCAAATGAAAAAGAATATTGACCTCGAACAGCAGCACTGAAACAAAGAAAAAAAAGTGTTAATTAATAAAACACGCCTTTTTTTTTTTTTTTTTTTCTCAAGTGATTAAAGCAATATACCCTTAATTAGTACTGAATTTATCCAGGTGTTCCTTGAGTAGAGCCACAAACAAAGCTAGATGAGACTCTTCCAGTGCTTTATACTCCTCAGTATTTTTTAAACTCGCCAATTCGGTAACTATATAATTTTTAGCAAATTCCACCAATTTTTTTGAATCGTGAAGATCTGCTAAAATCAGTATCCTGATAGAATTTTCAACAGATATTGTTTCTGATAAAGATTCTTCACAGATTTCTTTGAGTCCTAGAAGTTGATATTTATCAGACACTTTCAATAATTCCTCAGCAAAAGTCTTTAAATCGTCGACTTTGTCTGTGTAGATGTAATCATAAGAACTTTCTCGAAAACATCAGGATCAACATCTGGTATAGTTATTTCATTTTTTTTGTTCTCTTTCATATCATGTGAGAACATGGCATCGAAGACACAGCTACGTGTGCTTAAAACGAGCTTGTGAGCGTTAAATATTTTTCCACCGACTTGAATTTTAACATCACATTTCTTCTTAGCAACTAAAATGTCTCCAAAGTCGTCATTTAATTCATGTTTTGACGCTTTCAATTTTTTTATTGGGTGATTTGTTACAACATAATCATCGTAGACAATGAGATGGACACCAATTGTCAAAGTATCATTTTCCAAAAATTCATCTTTTTTTTTTTTAACAACTCATCTATTTTTACAAACATGGGATAACCAAATGCAGTTTTTGAACTGTTAAAAAAGATGTTCGAATAAAGATTCAATGATTGACTATAAACTGCAAAGTTATTGAGTATTTTTTCCTTCTTTCTATTCAGAAGAAAAAATAAATACTTTGTTCGAACTTCTAGCTTTTTATTGTTTGAATATAAATAAATTGATACCCATGATTTATCTTTTGATTTACCATGATCATCTTTTTCAATGCTAAGTTATAAGTGCCATGAATCTTTTATTTTCGCACCAGTTGAAAATTTCGGAGAATCTATGTTAATCATTTTTTCTTCCTTTCTTGCAGATTTAATAAATGAATCTATCTGATCAATTTTCCATGTGTAAAAAATTGAATGTGCCTCTGAATGGTAATAACCCTCTCTTACCAAAGTTCGACATCATTATTTTTTGGAGCAAAATTTTAAATGAAAATTAAGTTAGCCGAAATCTAAAAATTTTTAAAATTTTTTTTTTGTTAAAAAAATTATTACAAAAAAATTTTTTTATAATTTCATTTGTAAAAAATTTGAAAAAACTATAAGTGCAAGTTATTTTAAATATTATTCAGTTCAAATTTAGTAATTAAAAAAGAACTCAAAATATTAACAATGTCGGCTAACTTAAGTATTATAAATTTTAAAGCAAATAACAAGATAGATGCAATTATAAGCGCTTATCAATAATTAATAAGATGACACTAATATAACACAATATTTTTCACTAATAACTTTATCACTCAAATCAGCGTGTATCGTGTATCAGAAACTTTTAAGTTATTTTAAAAATTTTTCATCAGTAATTACCACGTGTAGTGAGTGGGTCGGTATATTGTGGTTGTGTATCAGAAATTTTCGAGTTATAAAAGAGAGGGAGAGACTTTATTTTTTCCCCAATTCCGCAATTTCACATGTGAAAATGCGAATAAAAATTACAAGTGAAAATTTTGAGAAGCATTTTTTGTTGTAATTGATTTGATGAGGCTGAAGTTAACAGACACTTGACAATTTTTTGACTTTTCTTCAAAAATAAACTAGGCATAGAAAATTATTTATAAAAATCTCATTTATAATTTTTTAGACCTTCTAAAGATGAAGTTTTTAAATAAAATTTTCTTACTATAATTTGTTAGTTAAAAAAATTATCAGATGTCTCTCAATTTCGGTATCATTTGAATTTGTTATAAAAATTTTTAAAATTGACAGCTGGCGGCTAACTTCAGTATTACAAGAATTTAATGAAAATTAATTTAGGGGACATCCATTAATTACGTGAGCTTAGAATGGGGGGGGGGGGGTCCAATGAAATCTCACCAAATCTCATCTAAACCAAGGGGGGGGGATAATCAAAAATCTCACCTCAACTTCAAAAAATATAAAATATTACAGACATTAAAAAAAAAATTATTTTGAGTGTTTATTTTGCCCGCTAAAATAAATTTTATGTCTATTAAAATCATTTACGCTGATGATTTAAACAAGCTCTTCTCAGAGCTAATGGTGGATTTCTTTAACATTATAATTATAAGATAAATTATAATATGTATGTATAAAAAAAGTACATGAGTCTCCATGGATTGAGTAAAAATTTTAAAAAAGTTTTGTTTTTATGTTTTTTAGTAGATTTCATAGGAATCTAACTATTGCATTGGTCCTCATGACAGAACTTTTAAAAAATTTTGCTATATTTCGACTATACTCGTCGACCTGAGTCAGAAAATGCATATGGTTCAAAAGTTTATATATGTATGTATATTTATATATATATATCGGATATAACGCGGCTTGTCACGACGATAGCGTCGCTAATTTACAACGGATCTCTACTAAACTCAACATACTTATTCTACAGATAAATACTAAAGTCAAGTTCGAAGATGAGCTTAATCGGTCAAGTAATTTAGAAATACCAGGATTTCAAAATTCTGAAAATCATATAAAAATTCATATTTTTTCACTTTCTTACTCGAATAACTTTTGACTGGGATAACTTATTGAAATTCTGTAAAATGCATCTGAAAGCTCTTTAAATAAGCTTCAATTTGAGTACTATATCACATGTGTAGTCTCAAAATTATGTCCTCTATTCCGCTATGCCAATTATGAAATTTGCTATTGCACTGGTTTTAGTATTTTTCTGTCGATTGCATAGAATTTAGAAGCCCTAGTTTTGTACACAATCCTCGTTATATTTTTTTCTATTTATGATGAAATCTACTTCCATTTCGGCTGCCGAATGGTCTTTTTTTGCTTTGAATTTTATTTAATTTGAATAAATTAACTATAGTATACTTGAATGGTTTATTATTCTCCCGAATAATAAAAATAATTTTAATTTAAAATATTTTTAGCGTCAATCTCACGTAAGGGGCGGGGGGGGGGGGGTCCAGACAAATCTCACTAAATCTCACCTAAGGGGGGGAGGAGTCTAAACTGATCGAAAAATAGCTCACGTAATTAATGGATGTCCCCTTAGCAGATATTTAGGGCCAGTTTTTCAATCCAGGATAAAATTTTATCCAATGATAAAATATGTATGAAACTTAAGTTAGCCGACATCTAAAAATTTTTAGAATTTTTTTTATTAAAAAAAATTCATTTGTAAAAAACTTGAAAAACTGTAAGTGCAACTTTTAAAAAATATTTTTTTTTGTTCTAATTTAATTATTGAAAAAAAAATAAAAAAATTAAAAATATCGGCTAACTTTAGTATTATAAATATATCTATATATTTCTTATATATAAATATACTGGCAATAATAATTTAATCTTGGATTGAAAAACTGGCCCTTAATAATTTTTAGAACTTTTGTTAACAAATAAATTGTGGCAAAAAAAAATGAGAAAAAAAAATTATTGACATATGTAGAAATTTAAAAAAATTAAAAATGCAATTTTTTAGAGTTAATTTAATTGTTAAAAAAAATTATAAATTTGTCAAGTGACAGCTAACTTTAATTTCATAGAATTTAATGCAGAGTTAACAATTTAAAATAAAATTTTTTTTGTAATTGTTTAAAAAAAAGAAAAAAAAATTTTTTGAAATGTCGGCTAGCTTTATATTGTCATGATATATTTTATCTAAATTACTAGAGTGGATTATTATAAATATATCACAAAATAATGAATCAGATTCAATGTTACGGTCATTCTAGTACCTCCGCAACAAAAACCGCTTGTCATCACGTGACTCCATATTACAATTAACAGTTTCTATTCAGAAACTAGAATCTTACTTTTTAATAATTAGTCTAGAGGGCGCTGTTGAAATAGAAGCATATATATAAATATACTCTCTTATTAACGGCAACAGTATCAAAGTATCAGCACACACTACTCACCTCAATAAAATTAACAATTAACATTAATTAAAATTCACTGATAATTACAGCAAAAAATCTAAATAATAATTATCAAAAGTGACATTTAAAATGACGCCAGTAGGTGAGTTTTTTTTTTTTATCAAAATTTAAAAAAATAATTATCTTAATTTATGAGTAGTTTTAATTACAATAATTATTAATATAATTTTAACATTACCTCAGCTTTATTAACATCCCGACAAGTGGCGAAAATTTTTTCCGGCGGATTCGGCAACTGGGTTAGATGCTGGACTAGCCCTAGTCCTAGTCCACGGTTGCAGCCAGTGATTAAAATCGAACGCATTTTTTTTTTAATTATAATAATAATATTTGCAAGTTTAAGAGTTTTGTTTAATTAACAATTCGACGAGCGAATGAGATCAACCGCACCCTCGGGCACTTGACGGTTTAGTTTTATTTAACGATGGAATATTTCATCAGATAATCTCAGGATCTGCTTCGTCATCCGTCATTTACTAGATACTGGCGCAGTTACAAGTGACGTCACCAAATATTTATCATCCACAATCCATTAGTGCTGTTTTTATTTTATTATTATTTTCTTATAATTTATAATAATCTCACCGCGACAATGGCGACCTACAAAGTTTTGTCCCGTCTTAAATATTTTAGTGGTGGAATATCAATAGCGTTCTTTAGAGTTCCTTTGAGTAAAAACACTCCGGCGTTTGTCAATAGGACATTTGTCGCTTGTTTTTCCAGTGAGTTAATTATTGTTCATTTTTTATTAAATTGTTGCTGGATCTTGTGTAATATTACGTAAATTTGAAGAAATCTAACCTCAACTTTTTTTTTGGAGTTATTTATGACAAATTGATATTGATAAATTTATATTTACAGGTGTATTATAAATTATAGATTGTCGGGAATTATTTTTTTCAAGGTCTTGAAATGTCAGGCATTAATTTACGTACGAAGGAATGAAACTTGGAAAATTGGAGTTATGTTTGAATAAATTTTTATGATTGATTAATCATAGGAAAATTAAATTAGCCATCTGAAAATTTTTAAAAATTTCACATGCAGAAAATTAATTAATTAAAAAAATCAAAAATTATTGAACGTCATCCAATTTTAGTTTAATAAAATTAAAAAAAATTGTTATTCAATATTAAAAATACTTTTAAATAATTAAATCCATAATTATGGATAGTCCATATGATTAAATCGATTTTTTTAGTGAAATTTAATGTCTTTGCAAAGATCTTGATTTGAATTTGTGCCTTTTCAAGGTTTTATTTCATTCTCACCGATAGTCATCAATTTATTATGATAAATATTTAGGCTGCATTCGAAAATACTCTATCTTTAGATAAATAATTAATAAATGACCTTGTATCTTGTGAATTATTGATATTTTTGAAGATATAAGCTCATCCCGATGTTACACTCATCAAGACCTTTAATTTGAGTATCCACATAAATTTTTCATATATTTATATATTTCATAAATACCATATATAAAAAATGCCATGTGGGTACTCAAATGAAAGCTCTTGAAGAGTGTTATATCAAGATGAGCTTATATCTTCGAAAAAGTCAATATTTAAGAAAGTACAGTGCAATTTACCAAAAGTTATTATTTAATAATCCAAAATTCATTTATTTATAGTTAATAAATTATCAATTAATTAATTTAATTTTAATAACATAATAAATAAAATAAATTTTTAAATTAGTTAATTTAAATTTTATTTTCAGGTACAACAAAATATCAGTATGACCTAGTAGTAATTGGAGGAGGATCCGGAGGACTAGCAGCAGCAAAAGAAGCAGTTGAATTAGGCGCTAAAGTAGCAGTATTAGATTACGTGACCCCGTCACCCCGCGGATCAAAATGGGGACTGGGTGGCACGTGCGTAAACGTAGGATGTATTCCAAAAAAATTGATGCACCAGGCAGCGTTGCTCGGAGAGGCGATCCACGAAGCTGTATCTTACGGCTGGCAGATCCCGAACCAAGAGTCGGTGTCCAACGACTGGGAGAGTCTCCGAACAGCTGTCCAGAATCATGTTAAGTCAGTGAACTGGGTGACGCGCGTTGAGCTGCGTGACAAGAAAGTCGAGTATATTAATGCTAACGGGTACTTCAAGGTAACTAGATGTATTCCATACATTCTTGTAAATTAATTAAAATTAATAATTTAATAATAATATTTTTTTTTTTAACACAGGACCCTCACACGGTGGTAGGAATCATGAAAAACGGAGACGAGAAGGAGGTCACTGCAGAGAATGTCTTAATTGCTGTTGGAGGTCGTCCCAGGTACCCGGACATCCCTGGAGCGATGGAGTACGGAATCACCAGTGATGACATCTTCAGTCTGGAGAAAGCTCCCGGCAAGACTCTGGTCGTAGGTGCTGGGTACATCGGTCTGGAGTGCGCTGGCTTCCTCAACGGGCTGGGTTATGATGCTACTGTCATGGTCAGGTCGGTGGTGCTTCGTGGGTTCGACCAGCAGATGGCCAACCTCGTCGCTTCTGAGATGGAGCACCGTGGGGTTCATTTTGTTCACCAGGCCAAGCCTAAGAAGATCCAAAAGCAGGAGGATGGAAGGCTGATGGTTGACTGGGTTGATAGTGAAGGACAAGTTCACCAGGATGTCTATGATACTGTTTTGTTCGCTATTGGAAGACAAGCTCTTACTCCTCAGCTCAAGTTGGAGAATGCTGGGGTGCAGGTTGTTCCCGAGACTTTTAAAATTGCTGCTGAACATGAGCAGACCAATGTTCCTAATATTTATGCTGTTGGTGATGTTCTTCATGTAAGTTTTTTTAGATGATTAATATTTAAGATTTTTAATCAATTATAATATGATATAATTAAATATTATTTAATTATTGATGAAGAAATTTAAAAAAAACAAAATTTTTTTTATAAATTTTTAAAAAATTTATTCAGATTAATTGAAAAAAAAAATTTTTTTTAAAGAAATTATTTTGAATACTTTTTTTAAAAAATTTGATAAAAAAATTTTAAATAATCAATTTAATTATTGAATATTTATTAATTTCATTTAAATAATTAATTTAATTAAATAACACTAAGAACTTTCATTCACTATGTGAACTATAGAGAAAGAAAATTTTGCTTTATTAAATAAACATTTTGTTAAATTGCACTGTGTTTTCTTAAATATTAACTTTTTTAAAAATATAAGCTCATCCTGGTGTTACACTCATCAAGAGCTTTCATTTGAGTACCCACATGCATTTTTGATATATTTTTCATATATACATATACATAAATATATAAAATATATGAAAAATTGATGTGGGTACTCAAATGAAAGGTCTCGATGAGTGTAACATCAGGATGAGCTTATATCTTTGAAAATGTCAGTAGTTCACGAGATACAAGCTCATTTCCTAATTATGTATCTAGAGATACATAATAGTTTTTTTTTTAAATTAAAAAAAAAATTTTTTTTCAAAAATTAATTTGAAATAGTCATTTAAATAAATCATTTTTTTTTAAATTAAATTTTTATAATTAATCAACTTAATTATTTAAATATTTAATAAAAAAACACCAATACTAATAAAATAAAATTTTTCAGAAAAGACCAGAGTTGACACCAGTCGCAATCCACGCCGGAAAACTGCTAGCTCGTCGCCTCTTCGGTAACTCAACAGCAAAAATGGACTACGAAAACGTAGCAACAACAGTATTCAGCCCCCTGGAGTACGGGTGCGTCGGTTTAGGTGAAGAACAAGCAATAGCAATTTACGGCGAGCAGTACATAGAAATTTACCACGCATTCTACAAACCCACGGAGTTTTTCATCCCCCAGAAAAACATAAAGCACTGTTACTTAAAAGTGGTGGTGCTCAGAAACGAGAACGAGCGTGTTCTGGGCATGCACTTCATCGGGCCTCATGCCGGTGAAGTGATCCAAGGATTCGCCGCTGCTATTAAATGCAACTTGACATTCCCAATTCTCAAGTCGACCGTAGGAATTCATCCGACCAGCGCTGAAGAATTCACCCGGGTGATGATCACCAAGCGATCTGGAAAAGATCCCAACCCTCAGAGCTGCTGCAGTTAAAAAAATTTTCAGACTATTTTTTTATTAAATTCCAGCTTTGTCACATTTAATTAATAAAAAAAAAAAAAACGCTGTTGAAAGTTTATTTTTTTTATTTTCACAAAAATAAACTTTATAAATATATTTCAGGATTTATATTAAAAAAAAAAAAAAAAAAAAAAAAAAAAAAAAAAAAAAAAAAAAAAAAGTACATTTGCAAAAGACATATTTTTATTTTAATATCTAGACGTATAAATTTTAATTTTCTAGCTTTTTTTTTTTTTAATTAAAAATAAAATAAAAGCGTTGTTAAAGAACAAGATGATACTGGATATAATCTCAGATTATACTCAGTGATATTTGTGGCGAAAAATTTTTTTTTTTTTAAATAGTAATTTAAAAAAAATCCAGATTATACTCAGTATAATCTTGGATTATACTGAGTATAATCTGAAGTTGTTTTTTTTCACTGATTATAATCTGAGATGAAATTTAATGTAATATTGTTCTTTCCATAAAAGTAATAATAATTTTTTTAAAGCAAGTTAGGCAATTAATAACACGTGCAAAAATTATTTTAAAAAATTAATTTTAGGCACGTAACACTGCCAGCAGTGTGGGCAGGTGATAATTAAATTATCCAGGTGAAAGAAAGAAAAAAAAAATAAAATAATTTGTCAATCTATAAATTTCGATATTTTAATAATAATAAGAAAACAAATTAAATTTCTTTTTTTTTTTTAAACTAATGTTTTTATACATAAAACTTACTTTAATAAACTCTATTAATATAATTATTTACAGGTATTTACAAAGAAACTCGCTCGTAGATTATAATATTAAATAACTTGAGTCAGCTATTAAAAACCAGAAAAAATAAAACCGAGCTTAAATTTAAATAAAATTACAAGAAAAATTATTGATCAAGCTGATGCTCAGCCAAGCCGTCTCTTTTAAGACAATCTGGACAGTACCACTTGCCCTTGGGAGGAACCATAATTCCCACACACTCAAAATGAAACCATTCAATGCGACAATTTTTCCCGTCGCAGGCAATCATCTCCGAGACCTCGTCATAAGGACACCGACAGTAGCAGTAGACATTGCTGGACCCCGTAGCTCCTGAATTATTAATCGGCGGATGAGTAGCTCTTGTATTAGTACTAGTCTCTTCCTCAGAACTGGAATTACTGCTCGAGTCATTAGGTTCCGAGTCAGTAGTAACATTAACATTAACCGCCGCGTGAACAGAAACCGGCGCTGGAGTCTCCACAGGTTGGCTAATAACAGCTGGCTGCAGCGGAGGTTCCTGAGAATAGACCTTATTAACCGGCGGAGGGCCAAAGTTCTGCTTGATAGTGATGCTAGGAACATAAGGAACTGTAGTATTAGGTCTCTGCCACTTGGTGGCGTTGCGTTGATGTTCCTCATCGCTGGAATCCCCGTAGAACTTCTTGGGAATCCTCTTTCTTTTAGAAGATCTCTTGCTGTCATTAGCCGAAGCTTCATTCTCGCTGGTGGCAGACATGGCGCTGGAATTAAAAGTAGAATCGGTGACTTGGTAATTAGTGTACATAAACTCGTCAATAGTATTGAACGTAGGTGGCGAGGGGTTCTTCTTTTGGAACAGAATATTCTTTGGAATGTTCAATTTAAGACTTCCCTTAGTAGACCCAGGAGGTCTTCCCCTCCCACGGCCTCTAACACTCTCCCTAGCTTCCCTAGTCTCCAATTTCTTCCTCCTCTTAGTCTTGATCTTCCTCTTCAAGCTCTGCTTCGACTTTACCGGCAGAGAATTAGCCTCATTCACCGGCTCAATAGCTCCATTCTTAATCTCAGCGCCATCTGTTGTCGCTTCCTGCATTACCGACTGGCTCTTTCGCTCAGCTAGCCTACTGGCGTGCAATTGAGGGTTCTCATCATAGAAATCCTCATCAGTCTCCGTCTCAGTGGTCTCTAGATCTGACTCTCTAACCGGCAGCGCCTCTCTCGGCGGTTCCTGAACTTCTAGATTAACTCCAAGATTCTCCTCACTTTCCTCAATTGGAATTCCATTCTCCCGCTCAGGAACCTGATCTTCTTTCTTGCGCTTATCCCGTTCCTTCCTCTTGTCCTTCCTCGCCTGCTTATGAGACTCCGTCGAGCTGTCCGAGTCGGAACTGCTGCTAGAAGACGAGGAACTTCCAGAAGAAGAGCTGCTGCAGCTGCAATTGGTTCCGCAAGAACAACTACTAGAGTCACTGTCACTAGAAGAATCACTGGAAGAATCACTCCCTGATTTCTTCTTCTTAGGAGACTTCTTTTTCTTATCCTCCAAGACTTCCTCCTGAACCTCCTCCTGAACCTTCTCCTTAGGAGGCTCATAGACCACCCAGTAATCATGTTCAGCAGCAATATTCTTCAAAATTTCATCATTGCTAGCCTTCAATTCAACCTCAGGAGCCAAATCACTCCCCAAGCTAGCAGCATAAGTCTTAAAATTGTCCCAAATTCCGTTCATGATCACCACCTCCTGCTTATTGACTTCATCATCATCATCATCATCATCATCATCATCATCATCATCATCATTGGCTTCAGGAAACTGAATCTCCTCCGGAACTTCATTGATTTCAATCCTAGCTTCATCAATTTCCTTATTTTCCTCATCAACCTTCTCCAAATCCTCCTCCTCCTTGCTCTTGTCCTTGCTCACAACTCTTTCATCCTCTGAAGAATCACTATCAGAGGACAAATTAAGCGGAGGAAGATCATAGACATCAACAACCTTCCTAACAGGTTGCTCCTTGACCTCCTGAACATCCTCAGGCTCCTTAGACTCAACCTTCTCTTTCTCCAGCTCAGGATCAGGCGCGGGAGGAATTTCCGGCTGCTTATGGCTCTCCTCATGTTTACCAGCCAGTTTCTTGGAGATAAACTTATCAGAGCACTCATTGCACCCATAAGGAGTCTCCCCGGTGTGCAACCTCTTATGAACCTTCAACGCCACAGCTCTGGTAAAATTAGCACCGCACTCCTCACACCCAAACTCACTCGGCGGGATGCAAAAGTGGTAAACATGCGGCCACTTTTTCTGCAGGCACTTTTTGCAAACCACACTTTCAGTTCCGTGCTTCCAAAAAAGGTGCTTGGTAATATCCGGCTTGTTCCGGTAAGCAATCCCACATCTGTAGCACAAATGATGAAGCTTGTGCTTCCAAACGTGGTTAGAAAGCTTCTGCTGGTTCCCCGTGGATTCAAGACACACATCACAGGTATCATGCCTTTTGCGTAGGTGCACCATTAACCTGAAGGAAGAAGGAAGACTCTCGATGCTGCACATGCAGCAGCGGTACCTAAGAGTCCCTCCAGCGGCATAGACTCCCGGACAGAGATGACATAGCAATTCACTGTGGTTAAAAAAAGAAGACTTGCACATAATACACACCAGAATTGTCTTCTGGTGGGACTTTCTGTTGTGCAGGTACAAGTCTTTGTGAATTGTAAAGTAAATCCTGCAGAGGTAACACTCGTAAGTTCTAACTTCAGGAAATGCGTATGTTCCTCTTTTGCTGTCGTAGCTATCAAAATTAAAGTAAAAAGCTTCCAGCTCATTCAAAGACTTTTTAACCCGATTTATAAATTGCTCCCGCTGGATTATGATAGCCGGGTGCTGAGGCTGAAATTTGTGCTCAGCTAGCATGTGCAGCGCCAATTGCTTTCCGTTTATCGCAATGTGCCTCGCGTGGTTACAGTACACGCAGGTGGGACTTGCAGCTTCTATGCACAACTTTAAAAGCTCGTCTATCTCCATGCTCTCTAGAAGACCCACTACGTTCAAATCTATGCTTGGAGCGTCGCTGCTAGCCAGCAGAATTCCGTCATCTGGAACCAATTGGTTCTCCCCAATATCAATCTGGTCTTGATTTTGTGGATTTTCATTCACATTTTTTTCCTGGCTTTCATTCAAAATTTTTGATGGGTCCTCAGAAGCATCAAGAGCAACAGGAGCATCAGTCTCTTTGGTCTCTAATTCTGGCTCCTCTTTCTGCAACTCTGGAAGAGCAACAGTAAGCTTTCCAGTATCAGAATCACTAGCACTATCGCTATCATTTTCCTTATCAGATTCTTTGGCCTCATCACCAGACTCTGTGTAAGTCCCATTGGAATTAGGCGTCGCGATAGAAAACTGTGAATTTTTATTAGTGCAAATTTTAATCACCAGACTTCTTGAGTTAACCCTTGTGCAGGTAGCAGCAGGCTCTTTAACAGGAGACTCCTCAGTCGTAGCCGAGGTTTCAGTGGTGGTCTCTCCCTTTTCTATCTCTCTCTTCTCTGTCTCTTCCTGCTCCTGCTCCTGCTCCTGCTCCTGCTCCTGCTCCTGCTCCTGGAAAATAGGAGAGACCTCCCGAATAGGACTAGGAAAACTCTCCACAGAGTCTTCCTTGCCGTCATCAAGAATCAGCTCACCCTGTTCCATTTCATCCAAGCTATTAGCATTGTCCTCTTTGTCATCAGAGTCCCAGTCATCGCTGCACCTCGAGACCTGCATTATAGTGTCCGTATACCTATCGCTCTTCTCCGGGGAGTTTGTGATGTCCACCTCAGTGATCCTAGTCTTGTCGCTTTCTGCATTTTTGTAATAATTATTAACACTATAATCACCTTCAATATCCTCCTGCTCTTCAGCTTCTTCAACCTCTTCCTCGCATCTCCGCTTTCTAGAGTACAAATTCGCCAGTTTGCTCTGATAAAAATCATTTTTTAGCTTGGCCTTTTCAGAAAGCAGCTTCTTGGCTACCTTATTAGCAGGATTGGGCAGCAGTGTTCGCTTATTATTGATCCTTTCGTGCCTATCTTGGTTGGATCCAAGCTTAGGTGTTAAATTAACTTGGTCATTTATTATTGTTGGTTGAGGTTGAGGTTGAGATTGAGGTTGAGGTTGTTGCTGCTCTTGGGGTTGACTAACATTCTGATGATTTAAATTAACTGGTTGAGGCTCCTCAACAACACTCTGTATCTCTTTAATAACACTAAGACAATTATGCTCGGAAAAATTATCAGTCTCGGAAAAAACTTTTTCACAATCACAGCAAAGTAAATAACAAGAGCCCTTAAATATATCATAAAAATTATTAATATTATTAAAATTTTCCACCTGTACACTGTGCTTTTTAATTAAATGATTAGAAAGTCTCTCGGCTTGGCCGAACATACCCAAACAAAATAAACAAATGTGTCTTTTATGAATTTCACGCATATGCAAAAAGAGATTCCAATTTTCAAAGTAAGTCCCACAGGCGGAGCACAAGTAAACTTTTCTTGTAATACGAAAATTATTTTTAGAATACCGGTTTGATGATACGTGCTGATGGTTGGAGGGTCCAGGCGTAGAATTAGCTGCTTGACAGATAAATTGATGTTGTTTGAGCATTGATAATGAATAAAATGTCACCGTGGGACGGCACTTAGCACACTTATATTTACCTGCTGGCTGCAAACCCAAACACTGAGCATACTCGGTAACATCTTTGCTTTTACTCACTTTATTACGAGATTCATTGTCGGGAAAATAATTATTTTTATTCCCGTGAGGAATTTTACGATCCTCAAAATGTTCACACTCATTTTCGGGGTTAAGACGGCTCAATTCTTCCGGCAATTGGGTTTCTTTGTACGACAACTGCTCCGGAGTCCAGGAATCGTTGTTAGACGCTTCTCCATCTTCATCGTCCATAATACTGATGGCGACTATGGCTGCGTATCTGAAAAGCATCAATAATTATTAGAGATTGTGGCTCACTTTCAAGGAGTCTCAACATTTTTATCACCAGCGAGGTTGAAATTGACATTTAGAATTTTAGGTGAAATTAATTTAATGGAGACTGAGACTGCTTTCTAGGAATATTGAAAAGAAAATTAACAAGCACCCGGATCAGCGCATACTTAATGCTTGTGTTACGTACCTCGATGTGTTGTTATTTATTATGGTTAATCTTGAAGACACTGGCTGGTTAGGGTGGTAATTTTTTGTTTAGAATTATTTAGCGGTGCTTTCGAAGCCGGGTAGCGTGTCAGAGGCGTATCCCCTGAGTTTTTCCTGGACGTACTGCCGTAGTACTAGCCTTCCAATCCGCGCCGAAAAGGTTAGTAAAATGGCGTCATATCATCACGACACTGCTTACCCGAAGCAACTCGAGCTCTGGACGCACTGAGCTACAGTTTAGTTAATTATACACTTTTTATTTATATATTTTATTCTCAGTGGACTTACTGTATAAAACATAAAAATTTTATTTTTCTGCAGTCATTTTTATCATCTAAAAAATTTAAGTAGATATTTAATAAATTTTAAAAGTTTTTTTAAATAAATTAGAAAAAAAATTTTTTTTGAAATTTTTTCTTAAATAAAATAAAATAAAATTTATAATTATTTAATTAAATTTAAAAAAATTTTTAATTGTTAATTATACTCACTGTTTTATTACTGAAATTTGACAGTAATTTTACTGACTTTTTTATATGAATGTTAAGTTAGCCGACATCTGAAAATTTTAAGAATTTTTTTTAATTAAAAAAATTTAAAAACTACAAGTGCAATTTTTTAGTTTTAATTTAATATTTAAAAAAAAAAATTAGTTTTAATATTTGATAATTTTAAGAATTATTTTATCAAATTAGGGCAAAAAAAATTGACATTTAAAAATTTTTAAAAATAAAAAAATGCAATTTTTTTTTAAATAATTTTTTGGAAAAAATCTATTAGAAAAAATTAAAAAATGGTCAAGTGACTGCTAACTTTAATTCTTTTTTTTTTTTTTAGAATTTTATAGCAATTAATTTATTAATTTATTATAAAAAAAAAAATTAATTAAAAAATTCAGTCTTATTTTTTTTTTGTCTCAAGAATAAAAATTTTTATTACATACAATTATTATAAAAATTAATTTTTTTTAATTAATTATCTTGAAATTAACCTAAGAAATAATAATTATTAATTATTTTGCCAACAAAATGATGACAATAAAAAAATAAATAGAATAAACTATAGTTTGCGCTCCTCTGAAAATTTAAATAAACTGACATCTGGCGGCAATCAGCTGACACTTTTCTCAAGACACTGAAGTTGCCAGATATTAAAAATTTTTTCTTACAATTTTAGCAATTAAATTATTATAAAAAAAAATTAATTAATAAATTCCACATGTGAAAATTAATAATAATAATTAATTTAATTAATATAATAATTTTTTTATTGTAATTTATTTGTTAAAAAAATTTTTTAAATTGACAGCTGACGGCTAACTTCAGTATTGTTTTTTCTCAGCGCCCTCTGGTATCCGTTAAAAATAAAAATCTGATTTCTATTATTTTTTTTTTAGTTTAGTAAAAAAAAAATCACAGCAGCTCTTTCCATAAATCTATTTGTCTTTTGTCTCTAAAGTTTGACGACAAAGACATCAATATAAATATAATAAATATAAATATAACAATAAAAAATCCGCCCACAGCAATGACTCGCGGCTTGATAATTAACATGACAAGTAGTCACTGACTGAGCAAACAAAAAATAATTTGGATGATCAAAACACAATGAAAGTCCAAAAAATTGTGATAATATTATTGTTTATTACGCAGTGAGTTCAAATTATTAAAAAAAAAAAAAAAAAAACAGAATTAAATAAATATAATTTTATTTATTCAAGATGATTTTCTCCTGATGAAAATTTAGAAAATTTATCCATGGTAAGTTTATACAATTTATTTTTTTATTTTTTTCAAGGAAGTAATTATCTAATCATGTCGCTGTTGAGCACAGTAATTATTCATAAATGCATTCATTTAAAATCTTTAACTAGCTCAGTATTAAAATAAAAAATTATTCTTTTTTATTTATTTTCTAGGCGCTTCGTATGATGTCAGCGATAGTACCAGGTTCTCAGAGCACAGAGTCAACTGTTGAAGCTAACAATCCAGTGGATAGGTATGAAAATTAATTTAGCAGATATTTAATAATTTTTTTAACAAATAAATTATGACACTGAAGTTAAAAGACGTGTTAAAATTTTTAACTTTTTTTTATTAATTAAATTACAACTAAAAAGATATTTCTAAAAAATTGCACTTGTAGTTTTTAAAGTTTTTTACATGTGACAATTTTTTTTTTTAATTGTTTAATTGAAATTTGTTCAATAAAAAATTTCTAAAAATTTTGAAATGT